TGAGCTGCTAACCGCAACAAAAATAAGAAATACAGAGAATTTTAATTTATAAACATTATAAACAATTTTTTTAACTTTATTCTGACAAAATTGAACTTCAGTTAGTATAATTACCATGAGTTTATGAAAACATTCCATGTATTCTGCTAACACATATGACTCTAGAGTTCTTTGTCTTTTTTTTCCTCTGTACTGGGGGTCAAACTCAGGACCTTGCTCTTTCCAGGCAGGTGAGGCACCACTGAGCTACATCCCCAGCAAGTCTGGAGTGTTTAATGTCTTCTGGTATGCACTGGGCTCTGTGTACGTCATGTTGTAGGAAAGTGGAAGAAAAGGCAGAGTTGGGAAGAATGAGAAAAAGGAAATGGGAAGAATGAGAATCATTAAAGCTGTTCAAGTATTTGGTATACTAAGAAATACTATAATGTATGGGTAGAGTCTATGTGTTCAGTAAGAAGCCTGACTTAAACATCTTCAGTGCTCTAAACCTGTTTTTTTCCCTTACAGCAGACACATAAAACAAAAAGACATTTAGTACATTATCTAGATTGTCTTCCTTGGACGTTCTGCTTTTCCAGCATTGGGTGGTATATAATGGCATTAGTAATTACAGAGCAAGGAGGTGCTGCAAGGGAGAAAAGTAACTAAAAAAGATCACTTCAAGCCAAGGACACAGCATTTAAAACCTTTAGGGCTTGGAGGTTTTTAAAAAATAACTATACCCTTCATTTGATTATTAGGAAAATTTTGCCTCTGTACAAATCTGAAAATGCAGCCATAATATGCATTTATCCACCAAATACATTAAAATATAATTTTAGAGTTTAGGCTCATATGTAGTACTTCTATTTCAAAAGAAACTTACATAGATCATTACAACTGAGGCAAAAATTTGTCTTTTTGTTTTTTCACTTTCTTTTAAGTATTGAAATACCAGTTGAAAATTGTAGAAAACAAGTCTTATGATTACTGTTGATAATTCTAGATGATTTGAAACACTTGCCTTGCAGTTACAACCTTAGCAACAAAACATTTTGTCTCTACTTCCCAAATATACCTAAATCAGCCTGTCCTTCTCCTTGTCCATTATTATCACCCTAGTCCAGTCCAACATTACATCTCACCTGGACTTGTCCATCAGTAGTTTTGATGTTTTTGCATCCTCAAATTCATGCTGAAACTAAATCTTCAATGCTGTATAGTATTAGGACATTTGTCCTTTTGGAAAGCATTTATCAAGCTATAAGAGTGAAACCCTCAAGAATGGATTGATACCCCTGTAAAAGGGCAGGACAGGTGGAGTTCATGCCCTTGTTCCCTGGACTGACCTGTGATCCTCCCTTTCTGAGATCTCAGTGTTCAAGGCAACTTCTACTTGGAAAGTTGTCTTGGAAAAAGAACCAGCCACTTATCAGACAAGGAATCTGCCTTTGCACTGGGGCTTCTTGGGCTTGAGAATTGTAGAAAATAAATTTCTTTTCTTTATAAATTATCCAGACTGTCTTCCGTTACAGTAGCACTAAATAGATTCAGGTAGTAGTTTAACATGTTCCCACCGGCTTGTACCACTGATGGTACAAACGAATTTAATCACTTTTATTTGTCTTTATACTAATAAAATTAATGAAAAGCCACACAATGGGACAGCCATACATGTATGTACCCATTGGTGGTTCAAGTCTCCTGAAGGCAGCAAGACACATAAATCACAGCCCTGTCATGAACATGTCAATGCCTCTACTGTGTGTGAAAGGAAGTATTTAATTGTTCAAATAAGATTGGTCATTAGAAGTTTAGATACAATTTAGGTTTTAAATACATTTTTTTGAAAAATAAATGAAGCAGTATCTTTTAAGAGCATTTTCGTGTGCCTTAGAGTCAAAGCCTGAAAAAATGGTTATTACATAGCAATGCTCACATGATCTCAAGATACATGTCCTGTTTATTTGTAGTAGAAATATTTGCTCCAGCTCACCCCAGAAGAATACATTTTGATGTCTATACCAACCAAGTTTACACATCCATACCTCTTCTGACTAATTCTCCAAATGAAGACTGGCAAAATTGGGCCCAGATAAGAAACTGTTAAGAGTCCCTGAATAACTGAGTGCTAAAAAGCTTAGAGTTGTTGCTTGTAAACACTAAAATCTATCAGAGCTTCTATATAAACAATTATTTTGACTCTAGTGATAAAGGATTACAGTTTACCATGCAAATTTTACTCTCTTGTCTTGCCTTTGAATTACAAAATGATAGCTTCTTCAGTTTTAATTAAATGGTTTTTGTCATAATAATTAATATGTACATAGTATATTATATATTAGCACTGTTGACATTTAGTAAAGAGTAACTTTCTCCAGGTCATGCAGCTATTAAGTTGCTGAGCCAAGATCCACCTTATGGAAGTTTGACCTTGGAATTCTCACGCTTCACCACAACACAGTGCAGCTTTAGAAGTATAATACTCTGATTCAAAACTTAGCCTAGAGTATGTAAGGAACTTGTAAAAATCAAAAGAAGATAAGCAAATGCCAATAAACGTATGAAAACATATTCTGCATCATTAGTTGTCAGGAACTCCAAATTAAAACTACAGTGGGTTACCACTATGTATACATTGAAATAAAATTAAAAGGACTGAACACACTAAATATCAAAGATGGAGCACATGAAACTATCGTACATTATTGATGGAGTGTATGATGGCACAACCTCTTTGGAAAAGAGCTTGCTAATTTCTTACATGGATAAACATAGCCTATAACCCATTAATTTCATTTCTAGGTAATTAAGAGAAACAAGAACAGCTCTACAAAAAAAAAAAAAACTTGTACAAGAGCTTTGTTCATATTGCCAACAACTGGGAACTGTCCCACTGCTCATCAGTATAAGAAAGAATAAATTGTGGTACATTTATTCAGCTAAAGGACTGCTTGATTAAAAATAAAAGAATGAACTTAGGATACACAAAATAACATAAAGAGCAAAAGAAGTCAAGCAAAAAGGGAGGGTACCAGTTATAATTGTGTTGGATTTCATTTGTAGGAAAGGCCCCAAATAGGCAAAACTAATCTATACATCAGAAGTCAGAACATCAATTACCTATTTGATAGGAAAAAGGCATAAAGCAATTTTCTGAAGTAATAAAAATGCTATGTATCTTAATAATTGTTTTGGTTATACATTTGTTTTGGTCTTTTTGGAGTACTCTAACTCCATAAATGGTGTAGCTTATAAGCAGCAGAAATGCATTTCTTGAGAATGGACAGTCTTAACATCAGGGTGGTAGCAGATTCGCTGTTAGGTGAAGGCCCACTTTCTGGCTTATGGTGACATCATCTTCCAGCTCTGTCATCACAGGTAGAAAGAATGAGACAGCTTTCTGGGTTCTCTTTTGTAAGGGCAATAATCCCACTGGGGCTTTGCTCCAGTGACTTCATCATCTGCCAGAGACCCTTCCTCCTATTGCCATCACCTTGGGGAGGTAAGGATTTTGTAATTGTCACTTTCATGTCACTGAGGCGAAATGCCTGACCTGCAACTTAAAGGTGGAGGTTTATTTTGACTCACTGTTTCAGTAACTTCAGTCCATGATTAATTGTTCTTAAGGCAAAAACTCATGGCAGAACACTGAGTGGAGAAAATCTGTTCACTGCATGGCTGCCAGGTAGCACCATTCCAAGTCACACCTTCAGTGACCTGCTTTTTTCTGATCAGGCCCTGCGTTCAAACTTGAGACTTGGGGGACATTTTAGATCTAAACCTTAACAGATTTGAACATACAAACTTCAGGGGGACACAGATACTTTGACTGTAGCCACAGATACATAGATTTGTGAGAACTTATTGAAGTTTGTATATTTAAAATTACTGCATGTAAAGAACACTTCAATAAAGTAAATGCACATATAAAGTTTTAAAAAGCAAGGGAAGGCTTTCTTTATAAGTACAATGACCACAGGAATCACAGCGAACCACTTAGAACATGCAGAGATACACTAAGAAGTACAGAACTGTTAAATAGAACCTCAAATGATATTCATATTATTGAAGATTAACAGTTACATTCAGTACATTTTCTAAGAAGCCAGCAAGGCATACTGTTCTTAGAGTTTCATTTGTAATTACTGAAAGCTTCAGAGTAAAAGACTTAGATGTCAGTTGTGCACAATATTTAATATGTTAAACATTTACCAGATTTTCTGTAAGGAACCATTATTAATATTGGGAAATGATTATGAAATAGAACTAGAATGTCGTCTCTTAAGAATAGAATTACCAGGGCCCGGGATTTACCTCAGTGGTTCTGTTGCTTGCCTTGCAAGCGCAAGGACCCGAGTTTTATCCCTGGTACCAAAAAAAAAAAAAAAAAAAAACAAGAATAGAATTACCAAAAAGAAGGTATGAAAGGCTCCTCTAAACAGATTTGCTTGATGAACAATTTAAATAGAATATTTGTCTTTATATGATTTGTGTAAATAATTCAGATTTCCTGTTGGTAAAAGAAATTTAAAAATGTAGCATCTAAGCTTGAGCTTGTTTCAACATTTTATTTATAATATATCCCAGGAATTTAAGAGATCCCACAATTAAATGTGCTGAAATACAGTAATAATTTGTCCCAGTTATTATGTTCGAGTAAGTAGACACATAAAAACATTTGATGGTAGCCTGTGTAGTTTGACAGTATTTGTCTCGAATCCTCCACAACCTCCTCTATGCAATCAGATGTACTCAAACTGTGTACAGTGGTAAATTCAAGTAAGTGTTCTGTAGTCTTTTATTATAAAGTTAGTCTTCAAAATAAAGGATAACCTTTAAAGTTAGTTTGTGAGTTTTGACCTCTTTCAAGTAGGTTACTTTTTGTGGGCTGTCTTCAAAATAGTAAACACTTTAGTCACCGTATATTAATGTGGTCATTGATTGCTCAAACGAGACTGACAGCTTGGCTGTTTTTTGCTTATGGAAAAGCTAATTCCTTATCTCTGTATCTGTTTTAGTAATAGTTATGCACGAGTGCGAGCTGTGGTGATGACCCGAGATGACTCCAGTGGTGGATGGTTACCACTTGGAGGGAGTGGACTAAGCAGCGTCACTGTCTTCAAAGCCCCTCCTCAGGAAGAGAATGGCTGTGCTGACTTTTTTATCCGTGGAGAGCGGCTCAGGGACAAAATGGTAATGAATAATACATCTGTCACTGTCATTTTAGGATATTTTCTATAAAATGGATAATCTGTTTAAAATCATGATTATATATTATATATGAGAGTTGTTTTTGCCATGACTCAGTGATTGTTTCTGGAGCTCATTTTGTGTCAGACAGTAGAATATGATAGTTTTTCAGAGTGGATCTGACAATATATACTTAGTAGGCAGGAGTGCTCCATTTGTTTGGTGTAATGCCGGAACGTTGGTGAACAGTCCCTCTGCTTTTTTTTTTTTGGTGCTGGGGATTGAACTCGGCTCCTTGTGTTAGCACAGCAGGCAGCAAAACTACTGAGCTAAATCCGCAGCCCTCCCTCTGCTTATTGAACCAGTTCTCCCCACTGTTCCCAAAACAGAGATTGGCAAACTAGTCCACAGGCTAAATTCCGGCCTGCCACAGGACTCTGTGCTATCAATGATTTTTGTATTTTAAAATGGTTGATAAAAAAGAATCATTTTGTGATACGTGAAAATTATATGAAATTCAGTTTCAGTGTCTGTAAATAAAGGGTGTTTTGATTTTAAGAAGCATTTTTTTACATATGTCTTTGACTACTTTCACACTACCATGGGAGAGTGGAGTAGTTTCAGCAGAGACCATCCATATCTGGCTGGACTTTTGCAGCAGACTCCTGCCCCGCTGCCTAGGCTCATACAACTACTTGGGGCCAGCCTGTCCTCCCTCCCTCCCTCCCTCTCTCCCTCCCTCCCTCTCTCCCTCTCTCCCTCTCTCTTGCTTTCTTGCTTATTATTTTTTTAATTCTGGTACTGGGAATTGAACCTAAGGAGTACTTAGCTGCATCCCCACCCCTGTTTACTTACTTTTTACGTTTTGAAACAAGATTTCACCGTTACTCAGGTTGGCCTTACACTTTGAATCCTCTTGCTCAGCCTGCCATGTAGCTTGGATTTTTTAGGTGTGAGCTACTATGCCCAGCCTAATTGTTGACAATACTGTCTTTTGCCTAGATAAATATTTCCTTACATGTATATATTTTGGAATTTCAGTCCAGCATTTGGTGTTAGTTATTTGCTATCTTTTAATTAAACTGCCAGAATTTCTAAGACCTTTGAGAATAACAGAATCCCTCTTAAATATATATTTGTGGATGGTTTATGAGCCAGTTTAGGTTCTGTCTTACTTCTGTTGGAAATGCATTTTAAGATCTAAATAATTCTTTCATACATGAACATTTTGAATACAGCCTTTTTGGTTTTGGCCTCCATATTTTTTTTACTACTGAATTATTTTAGTAATTCAGAAAGTTGCTTAAATTGTCTATGCCCCAATTTATTCCTCAGTTAAAGGAAGTTATCTTAAATCATCTTGAAAGACATTCAGGTCCAGTGTTTGAGAGTTTATAATTTACTTTGATGTTATACGTTGTACAGTGTATCTCAATTAACTAGAATATGGTTTTAGTATTATAAGAACCCTAGTTGAAGTCAGAAGTGAATATAATAAATTTAATATGTCATCTTTAAAGAGTTTAAGTATTTAGAAGTGGTTTTGGCCTTAAAGTAGTGTTTGGCATTTGCAAATGCTTTTATAAGCTCACATATACCTAAGAAAAGGCTCAGATATACCTGTCCTATACCTTAGATAATACCTGTCCTAGACTATAATGCTTCTTATCTGAGCTAATGATAACTGGGAATGTTATTTCAGAAACTGAGAAGCATAGTAAGGATCTAAGGTGGTTTTTGTGAAAATTTATTATATAGTAAAAATAAAAAGGAAAAGAAAGAAGTCCAGTAATGGAGTAAGAGTTGGAGAAAAGAACTTCTTAGAAAAAGTACAAGAACAAGGAAAAGATACCTAGATGTAAAATAGAGCAATAAATCAGTAAAATAGCGTATTAGGTCTATTAATAAAGACAGACAGTTCAGAACCAAATCTTTATAATTTGAAATGAGGCTGGTCAGAGATAGCTCTGATTGATGGCACCTGTGAATGTTCAGAGTATGGCTTTAACAAAAAGCTAGTGCAATTGACCTGGAATTCATAGAGAACATAAACTTACACCCCATGACAAGGCTTAAGAAAGGAGGAAAAAAGTAGAGTAGTTAGCCTACTCCTAGAGTATGGAACCCTGATACTAGAAGTACTGATCAGGAATCATAGTAACTGTTATTTCACCTAACCATTTCTCCTTGAGGAAAGCTATTTGTAAAATAAGAATAATAATATAGATACAAAGAAAAAATTGCTTTCAGTTGGAGGATTGCCATATTTCTTATATAGGATTAACTGTAGCAAAACTTTCTGTAGTAAAGCAGTCCCCATAACTTATATGATCAAAGGTTTAGACAATGACTCATAGCTATAAATTGAAAATAGCAAAATGTTAAGCGTCCCACAACAAATGAGACAATAACATTGAAATAAGCAGACTATTGGCCTGCTCTGTTGGGTAGTATACTTCACTTCCACTCCTTCTCAAGAATTCACCAATGTAATTGAAGTCTACGTACATACATTCTAGTATCACTAAATAGCTGTTTTATGGGTCAGTTTTATTCTACTTCTTTTTTGTGGTTTATAATTTCTTGATATTTTCTTTGTAAAGTGCTCTGTGAATAACTACTATGACTATAGGGTTCTTCCCAAATTAATGATAGCATTCTTTTTGAAGCTTTCTCAGTGAATAAACTGCATTTTGATAGTTTTGCTATGTAACAATTATGTAAAAGACAACTGCTAAAATCTGTTTTTTACCCATTTCCCTGAGTCCACATCTTCGAATCTCTGCCTTAGACAATTTATAGAAATGAAGCCCTTGCCCGTCATAACCCTATTAAATAAACTTGTGCCCTTTAAGAAAAAATAAATAATAAGATATATATGGCCACTTACTAATAAAGACATTCTACATAACATTTTAAAAGATGTTATTTATTTATTTATTTATTTTTGGTACCGGGGATCGAACTTGAGACCTTGCGCTTGCGAGGCAGGCACCGGAACCACTGAGCTAAACCCCTGGCCCTTAAAAGATGTTTTTAAATCAGAATACTGGTATCCATGATGGAGCAGAAAGATGCCTTTTATTAATGATGAGGGAAGCAGTGTTTTGACAGATTTTCCAGCCTTTGATTTACAGTAGCTTGTACTAAAAATAAGTCTCCTTAGACTTCTCAAAGGGTTAGTCAGTCAGCTGTCCATATCTGCAGGTTATGCATCTGCAGATTCAACCAACTGGATTGAAAATATTTGTGCCCATACTGAACATGTACACACTTTTCTTCCTTGTCATTTATCCCCTAAGTAATACAGTCTAACAGCTATTTACATAGCATTTACATTGTATTACATATTAATAAAGAACAGTCTGCCCAGGATTTTTCAAGAAGGTATCATTTTGTATAACTGGATGGAATTTATGCCCTCATTTGTTCTCTCAGTCTTAAGTGATCAGAAATAATTATTTCCTGTGGTGACCTGTACAATAAGTTCCTGACCTATGAATGAGAGAACATTAATAAGTTGGGTTCCTTTGTGAGTCAGACAAAGTGAATCTTATACACCTTTGGCACGTATATAAAGTGAAGCATTAAAAAGCCAAATGTGAGGTCCATTCATATCTATGAAAGTTTACAACTCAAATGTTCGTAAGTTGGGGATTTTCTGTAACTTGCTCTCCTTTATGATGCTTCCAGAGGGAGAGTTTCTTTTGGTACTCTAAACTAGACTTTCCCAACTGTTTGACCTTTAGTAGGAAGAGCTTCCAGGCTGTCTTAAAGTTTTTCTCTTTCCCGTGTGTGCCTGAGGAGAAAAGGGCTGGAAAATAATACATAATTGGCTTTCACGCTTTATTGAGAAAGAATTTTAAAGAAACAGCAGGCTTCTTCACAGATCCATGGAGATGAAAGAAAAGAAAGAATTGCAGAACCTCTCTCTGGATGTATATGAACTGCATCTTCCATTTCCTTCCAAATCTATATAGCTTTGATACCTTTAATTTTTTAATTTATCTTGGATCACTTTGTAAAATGCTGGCTAAAATTTAACTTTTCATTTGTTTAGGTAATCTTTACAAAGAAGTCCACATTCCTTATGATAGAAACCTTCTATTTTGCATTTAGTTTTCATTAGCTCTCATGGCTCTTTTGTAAGTTATAACTCTCATCTTACCAACATTTTAACAAAAAAGCTAATTACTAATCAAAAAATTATTAAAGATTTTAATTACCATGGGGTCTAAAACAGGTATTCTTAGTATAGTAGACAGAGCAATGTAAATTTACTAATGTGAAGTAGTGTTTTTAAAAGCATATTATGTGACACAAGATGACAAAAGATGGAGTAGGCTAGGTAGAAAGATGCATTAGGATCAACTGAATGACTTCGGGTGCTCTGTGAGAACAAGAATAAACACGGTTGTAAAAGAGCTACCAAAATAAACTTACAGTGACTGTAACAAACGGCACAGAGGGATGAGACCACCCGAGCAGGCTAGTGGAAGCAAGAGGCACAGACTTTATTAAACTGGGCAGAGGTGGACCGAGGACTGTAAGCAGGAGGCTGCCAGCACTGAATTGAAAAAGGCAGAAAGCATCATGGGGCATCGGAAGAGAGGTCTGTCCTGTGTAGGGGGCAGAGCGAATGTTTAGGGTCGGGGTCCATGCAGCGATCAGGGCAGGTGTGTGGATATTTTCAGGTGACTTGGCATTGGAAAGGTGCTGTACTTTGTGGTTGTTATCTCTATGTTGGAAACATCCCATCCCGTGTTCTGTGTCCAAGATAGCACAGCTTTTGTTGAGCAGAGACAGCACCTGCATCGGCTGCCTGTTTTGTTGTGGTGTTTTTGTGACTTGTCAGACCATAGCTTGGAATTAAAGAGCATATTCATTAAGCATTGCACAACCAGGTCAAGCCTGACAGTGACAAGTTAAATTTTGAAACAGAAAAAGGGAAACTGAGAGACATTTTCAGGATTATTAAGTAATTAGGTTGTAGATAAAAAGTT